CCATAAAACCATCCCATGATTCTTCTGCTAATTCCTTCTCTGCCACACCTACAATCTTTGATGAGGTTTAGGCAGCAAATGGGTCAAGTTCAAACCTGTCTTGGATTCTACTTATTCATATCAGTTGGTTATCTCTCACCCCAGACAGACTGTATTTCCATGGCATGGGAGCACCTTGGTGCTCTGCTGGCACAGCACCTAGCACAGCTCTGGGCACCAATTTATTTACTTTCTATTAAGCAATATGGTAGCAGTTCACCATTTTCAAAGCGTAAGTTAAAGATAGAGGGTACACGTGACGATTTCAGAAAGTCACACGGGAGGAGCTGACACAGGGAAGGACGAGGGGCTTAGCTGAGCCAAATATCTTGCCTTTCACAGTGGATATATGAGGCTACATTTGTCATCGAGGGTGCAATCCTGCACACACAGAGCTGGAGGAGGGGAGTCCTTCCTGACAACTGCACTGATTAGCTGGTGCCCTGAAGAATGACGTCTGATTACCTTTATCTTCGGCTGCAGAACTGCAAATGTCACTAATGGTCATAAAATCATCCAGTCTTTTTCAAAATACAACCGAAGTAAATTAATCTATTGAGCACAGTTTATTCAATACTTCTTACTCTGGCAAAACTCCCAAAAAATCATTTGCTTACTGCATGTCTCCACCATATGGTGTCATTCAATGCAGACTTTCTCTCCTGCATTGAAATCCAAAATTTAATGGAGTCAAGTCACCTACAGAGTTTTTCCAGCTCAAACCTACTAATGTAATTTTCTGTCAAAGAGGTCACACAGCACTTTCCGGTTTGATACACAAACCAATACCAGCATGAATCCTCTTTTCATAATTAAAATCAAAATGTTCTGGTTTCAGCAGGTTTGAAAGAAGTATTTTGCCCTGTGCAGAGAAGAGCCAATGCCCAGCACTGGACAATGTCAGCAGTCTCTGTCTGGTTTCAGAACTTCAAAGTCTTGGCAAGTGACTGGTATACTCTCCTATCTGCAGGTGATTTCTCATATCAATCTCACAGCAATCACTAAAACAAACCAAAAAACATGACATTGAACTGTACTGAAAACTAAAGTAGTGAGACACTTATAATACTTGAAAGCATTTTTAGTGGGGCCATTTTAAATAGAGCCTTACTGCCAAGGAGCAAGGGACAAAATAAAGAATTTCTAAGTATGAGGTACGCCTAGAGCAGGCAAGACATGTATGCTGGTTTTCCTAGAAACATGAGCTCAAGACCAGGAGAAAGATGACTGACTATGCATTTAGCTATGCTGTTATTTTATCCTCTTCACCAGATGTGCCTTATGTCAGCTAGGCACTCTGTGACTCAGTTTCCTCAACTATAAAACAGGGCCACACGTTGATAAATCTGGTTTTGACACAATGATGTCATCTTCAATCAATGGTTTTAGAAAAACACTGACCACCCTCTGGCCCCAGCATCCATGAATAACATACCATGTCTCTTGGTAAAGATTGTTATTACAGTGACAATAGGAAGCATTATTGTGACGAGGAAGCCACAAGCTCTGCTTTACACAGCATTTCCCAAACTTTGGAAAGCAGCATATCCTTTCATGTCGCAGCCTCCCTTCGCCCTTGCCGTGCGCCCACTGCAGATGCTGCTTAGCGGTGCCAAAGACTTTCAGCACTACACATCTCTCATGCTTTGCAGTTTTATGGCTCATCCTTCCCTCCGTGCTCCAACTATGACCTTCCACCACCCCTGCCCCACAGCTGTGAGAAATCCTAGTATGCTCTGCAGAAGAAGACACTGCTCCTCCGTACTTACTCACTTGGATGAACACTGAAATAATTTAAAGCTCGGCATTAACCCTCTTCTCACTGCAGTTGGAGCAAGCGGTCGTTGAGGGGAGTTTAAGCGCTTCCCAGTGCCATCAGGACATGGCAGGAACGTGCTCACAGGCAGCTACCATGGTTCAGATGACAAGCAGTAAATTGTTACATCAAGCTGTCTGGATGATTTCTGACTGCTGACCCATACCCCCAGGCTGCCATAGCTGCTTTGGATGTATTTCCTGCTGTTTCAGAGTTTCTACCACAAATGATTATTCTGTTTTAGTGAAAGTTGAGAATCTAGAGAGATAGTGCATTGCTCTCCAGTCCTCTGTCCTGTCCACCCAGCCCACCAGGCACCCCAAAGTGCCACCCACCCTGCCTGAGAGACTATAATTCAAAAAAACAACTCCAAGAAGTGTAAAAGAGACAAAGAGGCAGTAAAATGTTGTATCAAATAACACGAACCCTGGCGAACACCCAGTCACCCTCTCTGCACACAAAGCGCCTGGATAAGAGCAGCCAGATCCCAGACTACACCAGCTTATCAGGACACCATAAGGCAGAAGAGCAGATCTGGCAGCTGCAAGCCAAACGTGTCCCACAAAGCACTGCACTGCTGCAGGCAGCTGCCCTCATCTCTACAGCAGATGTCCATCCTGTGATGGCTTTGGTGCCTGGTGTGACATTCTCCATCACCAACTCATCTGAAACAGAGCAGATCCCACAGGCTTCATCTCAGTCTTCTTCTCTGTGACCCAGCAGGTAGGGATGCGGCCAGAATTAACCCAGTGAAGGTGAGAAGCTGCCTTTGGTGCTCTTGCTTACAACTCTTCCCATGCATGAGTCCCTCTACTTGCATAAATCCAACTTATGTCCACAGGGCTCCTGGACAAAATAAGGCTTTACCCTTGGGAAAGCTCCTTCCCCATTGCTATTCCCTTCTGCTTGTGCTCTCTCTTCATGCAGCATCCTCATGAGTGGCTGCATATGCACGGCAGCTCTTTTTCACCACCCTCACCCATAGTTCCAACCCCTCCTTCTAGTCCTCCCTGCACTTTGCCAGCATCCCACTTGTCCCACCCCAACTACTTTGGCATTTAACCCAAATTGTTTCCAACACCTGGATGACCCTGGTCCATTATCTAATTTTCCTCCAACCTCAATTTAGACTACACTACACCCTCACTACCCCACCTGTCTCCCAGCACTGCCCTCCACTCAAGACACCCAGTTTTTGCCTTCAATCCATGCTACTACCTCTCAAACAATTTATTTCTCTCTTCCAACACTTATTTTCTCCTTGGGATCTTTCTTTCCCTCATCAACAACAAAACTCCACTTCCAGTCATTCCCACTGTTTATTTTTATTTCTTCTTTTGAACCCAGACTGTCTCTCATCTTGCCAGCCCATGGCAGAAAACCCCAGAGCACACAACATCCCAGCAAACTATCCTAGTCAGCCAAACACTGACTGGATTTTCCCACTGACTCACTGGACTGTCCATCCCACCCAACTGGCAGTTTTATTTCAGCCATGGAGCACTGTGTCCTGAACATTTCTGAACACCTAACCCCTTCAGTCTCTCTCTGCCATGATTGATACACAACCCTTTCTCAGGCTCTGTATCAAAAACCAACCCTTCCACCTCAGCAAGTTCTCTTCTAGCCCCCTCAATTTCTACAGATAGGATCCAAGTCCCAGGGTGGCCTCCTCCCACCTTGGCTGGGTTGTCCAGCTTTAGAGTCACAGATGCTCCCAGACTCTTCACAGACAATCTCTGAGCACTGCCTTCCATCCTTGCCAGGCTCTTCCATTGCTCCTTCCCTCCTCAGGCCACTGCCATCCTGGTCCCCAGCCCTCCCAAGCACCCAGCCCTCCACCACACCTTCCACACCTCGACTGAATCAACTCCAGGCATGCTGATTCCATCCCAACAAAGAGCCCCCCACAGCATCCTTCAGCCTCCCAGCCTCTGTCTAGACCTGATTCACAGAATCATAAAATCAATTAGATTGGAAAAGACCTCTGAGATCACCAAGTCCAACCTATGACTGAACACTTATATGTCAACTAGAGCATGGCACCAAGTGCCATGTATAATCTTTCCAATCTTTCCAATCTTTCCCTAAACACCTCTAGGGTTGGTGATTAAACCACCTCCCTGGCCAGTCCTTTACAATGTCCAATCACCCTTTCTGTGAAGAAATTCTTCCTAATGTCCAGTCTAAGCCTCCCCTAGCATGGCTCGAGGCTATTTCCTCCTGTCCTGTCACTTGGGTCACTTCTGCCTGGGAGAAGAGGCCGATCCTCACCTGTCTACAACCTCCTTTCAGGTAGCTAGAGAGTGATAAGGTCAGCCCTGAGTTTCCTCCTCTTCAGACTACACAATCCCAGCTCCTTCAGCCACTCCTCACAGGACTTGTGCTCCAGGCCCTTCACCAGTTCTGTTGCCTTTTTTGGGACTCAACCCCCTTTTTCGTGTCCCCCATAACATCTGCATGCTGCCAGGGCCCCAACCCCAGCCAGGAAGTTCCACGGCTGGAGGCCCCACACTTGCCCTGTTCTCATCCCTTTGTATGGGTGCCTGAACCTGCAGAGCCCCAGCACCCAGGCAGGCATGGGTGCACCCCAGGCGGGCACTCAGAGCCCAGGCCAGCCGCACTCCCTGGGTGGGTGTCACAGGATGGCTCAGGCTGCAAGGGACCACAGTCGGTCATCTGCTCCAAGCTCCCGCTCAGGCACGGTCATCCTTGAGCACATGGCACAGGATCGTGTCCAGGTGGCTCTGGAATGTCTCCACTGAGGGAGACTCCACTAACTCTGCGCAATCTGTTCCAGTGTGTGGTCACCCGCGCGCCAAAGTTCTTTTTTGTATTCAGGTGGAATTTCCTGTGCATCACTTTCTGCCCGTTGCCTTTTATCCTACTGCCCGACAGCACCAAGCAGAGCCTGGCTCGGTCCCCCCGGTTCCACCGCCTTGGCACCCCCGCTCATGGCCCAAGGCCTGCCCGTGCCGCCACGAGCCCGGCCGGGCCCGAAAGACCCTCCGGCCCCCATCACGCCACGCTCCGCGGGGGGATCATCCGCGGCCCCAGGCGCCCCGGCCGCGCTGGTCCGGCCCTCACCCGCGCCGCCGGCCCCGGCCCGGCCCGGCCCGGCCCCGCTCGCCCCCGCCCCGCTCACCATCCTCGGCGCGGCCCGCGGTTACCATGGGCAACTGCGTCACACCCACCCCGCGCGCCGACGTGCCCGCGCCGGGGGAGGGACCAGCGATGGGACCGCCCACAAAATGGCGCATGCGTACTCGGGCGGCCCTGCCGGGGGGAGGTGGGCGCGGCCGCTCGGGGCTCTGTGATTGGCTGGGGGCGGCCACGCGTCGGAGCGCGGGGGCGGTGAGCGGCTCGTGGGCGGGAGAGGGGCCTGGGAGCGCAGGTGGGGCACGTGCGGACGCGGCCGAGCCGAGCCGAGCCGAGCCGAGCCGAGCCGCGCTGCGCTGGAGGTGTGCCGGGGCTGTGCCATGCCGGGCCGAGCCCGGGGTGTGCCGAGCTGTGCTGTGCCTTACAGAGAAGGGCAAGAAAATTGGTGAAGGGTCTGGAGCTCTAGTCTTATGAGGAGTGGCTGAGCGAGCTAGGAGCGTTTAACCTGGAGAAAAGGCTCAGGGAGACCTTATTGCTGTCTACAACTACCTTTGAAATGAGGTTGTAGCTAGGTGGGAGTGGGCCCCTTCTCCCAGGAAACCAGCGATAGGATGAGAGGATATAGCCTGAAGCTGTGCCGGGGGAGGTTCAGGTTGGACATTAGTAAGTGTTTCTATACAGAAGCATGATTAGATATGGGAAAGGACTGCCGAGGGAGATGGTGGAGTCACCATCCCTGGAGGCGTTTAAGGAAAGACTGAACACAGCACTTGGTGCCATGCTGTAGTTGACATGGTGATGTTTGGTCATAGGTTGGGCTCAGATGATCTCAGAAGCATTTTCCCACCTAATTAATTCTGTGATTCTGTGCTGTGCAACCGTGGGCATGTGCTGCAGCAGCCGGGGGAGCATGCAGGGCAATGCCATGGCAGGGCAGAGCAGCGTTGGAGGGATGTGCAGGACGGTGCCGTGAAGGGCACAGCACAGTGTGGGGATGCTGTGCTCTGCACACTCAGGGCTGCAGAGTAGTGTTCCTGTAGGAGCATCTGCAGGGCAGCCTTGTGGAGGGTTGAGCTGGGCCCTACAGTGCTGTGCAGCACCATCCCATGCCGAGGAGGGGGTGTGGGGTGCACAACAAGTGGGGCAACCCCAGGCAAGCAGGGTGATGTGTGAAGGAGTGGCCTGGCTGCAGCGTTCTGCTGACAGCAGGAGTGCAGGGGCCTCCTGGGCTCAGGGCTGCTGAAAGTCCAGTTGTCCTGTTAAATATAAACCTGCCATGGCTCTCACCCAGCTGACTGCTCCTGTGGCCGTGGCAGGCGTGCACTCAATGAGCAAGCAAGGCAGAATCCTACTGAGCAGCCTTTTCCCCTGCCCAGACCTACGCCAAGATGGCCACAGTTTCCCTTAGCTTCAACATCGACTCCCCACGCTGGGACCAGAGCACCTTTGTGGGGCGCCTGAAGCACTTCCTCAACATCACCGACCCTCGGACAGTGCTGGTGCCGGAGGAGGAGCTGGACCAGGCCAAGGCCCTGGTGGAGGGCTGCAGGTGAGAGGCAGGGATACAGACGGGGGAAGTGCCATCCCTGTGTTCATGGCCGTCCCAACCACTGTGCAGTGTTGCAGGGGATGGAGGCAGTCATTCTCAAGCAGGTATGCTGTGATGTAATGTCTGTTGGAGGTAGTTTTGGGGGGGTTTCCCAGGCTTCTCCCAGGAGCCTCAAGCTGTGACATGCATCCTTCTCAGGAGCTGTTTCCTCTGCCTTTCATGTGGTGCCCGGAGCTCTCTGCTTCGGTAGTGCTGGGTGCTGGCGGGTCTGTGCAGCTTCCCCTGATGGGCTTTGGGTTTGCAGGGCCGGGCTGGTGCCACCAGGAAGCAGCCAGGAGCAGCTGCTCTATGCCAAGAAGCTGTACGACTCAGCCTTCCACCCTGACAGCGGTGAGAAGATGAACCTCATTGGGAGAATGTCATTCCAGGTGCCTGGGGGCATGGCCATCACCGGCTTCATGCTCCAGTTCTATCGGTGAGCTCCTGGGTACACCAGGCTGGGGACACAGCCCTGACAGCCCCCAGCCCCTCTCGAGGTCCCTGATGGCCAGAGCACGGCCAGCCTGCCTCCTCTGGGGCTGGGTGCTGCCCAGGGCATGCCCATGGCTGCTGTGCTTGCCTGTGTCCCGTGGTCAAGCCCAGTGTCTCTGGGTGTCCCCAGCACCCAGCCTGTGGTAGAAGCATCACAAATCCCCCTGGCATGGCTGGGAATGGTCTCACCTGACTCTGAGATCAGCTGAGCTCTTCCCATAGCTCCTGTAATGATTAATGCAACCAAATCCTGCTTGGCTGCTGCTCTTGGTCAGTGGCCCATAGCAGTCTTTGGAACTGAGGACCAAATGTGCCCCTAGGCCAGGCTGCTTCAGCATCCCCAGCCCCTGCTGACAGCTCCCTGCATTTCCCTTCTCCACCCCCTGCATTCCAAAGCGTGCTCCCTGTGTCCCTTCCTGCCCCACATCAGTGTCCCTGAGACACCAGTAGAAGACCATACACCCTCATTCCCCAGAGCTGCTTCTGTCTCCGTGTCCCCTCCTTGCTGTCCCCGTTTTGACAAAGGCTTATCTCAGCCCAGCAGAGGATGGCTGCCACCCTGCTAAGAGCTGTCTCCCACCCCTGCCCAAGTGCCTTGCAGGACTGCCCCCCCGCCTTCCTATGCTCCCCAGGGCAACCAGAACTCCTGGGATCATTTCCCAGCTCTGCCACTGGCTTGCCACTTTGCCACAGTTCCTCAGTTTCCCTTTGGAGACGCCATGATGAGTGGATTGCAGGCATCTTTGCTGCCTCCCTGCCAAGCCTGGCCACAGGCACAGGCCAGGTGTCCCAGACAGCCCTCGGGTGCTCTCCCATCCCTTCCCTCCACAGGACAGTGCCTGCTGTGGTTTTCTGGCAGTGGGTGAACCAGTCCTTCAATGCCTTTGTCAACTACACCAACCGCAACGCTGCCTCCCCCATCTCTCTGAGGTGAGTGGGCCCCACAGGATGGAGTGTGTGCATTTGATGCACCCCTGGATGCCCTGTAAAGACCCTCTACGCCATCCATGCCTTGGGCACAGAAGGAACAGGGCTGAGTCGGAGTTGGTGATTCTGTTGTCTTCCTTCTTTGAAATCTCTGTCCAGGCAAATCGGGGTGGCTTATGTCACGGCTACCAGTGCGGCCCTGGCCACCGCAGTGGGACTCAACCTCTACACCAAGGTATGCCAGGCTAGGGCCAGGTGGGGCAGCTGGGCACATCCTGCTCTCCCGTGCTGATGCCAACCTGTTTCCTGCAGCGAGCTCCCCCCTTGCTGGCCCGTTGGGTCCCCTTTGCAGCTGTGGCTGCTGCCAACTGTGTCAATATCCCCATGATGCGGCAACAGTAAGTGTCACATGTGGCTGGGGTGCTTGAGGGACCCAGCTCACTCCAAAGGCAAGCTGCTGGCAGCCAGGCTCCTGGGCTGCCTGGCCTCCCTGCCTTGGACTCCCCTCCTGGGAGCTGGAGAGAGGTGAACTGGGGTCTGTGCATTTGCAGTGCTGAGTCTGTGGTGGAGGGTGCTGGGTGGGATGGCTCAGCCTCCACCTAGAGCAGGAGGGGGATTTTCGGCTGATGATAGCTGCTCTGGAATCTGTGCTGGAAGATCCCTGACACCCAAAGATCTCCTGTATGTCGTGAGAGAACACCAGTCCATGATATCTTGATGCTCTCCCCAGTTGTGGTCCTTGTGGTGACCTGTGTCTGCTGCTTGGGGTTCCCCACAAGTCACTGCACAAGGAGCTCGGGTACCATGTGAGGGACTGTGCCCTGGCTCAGCTGTGTATCCAGGCAGTGTCTGTCCCTAGCACGGCCACATCCTGTGCCCTGGCTCAGCTGTGTATCCAGGCAGTGTCTGTCCCTAGCACGGCCACATCCTGTGCCCTGGCTCAGCTGTGTATCCAGGCAGTGTCTGTCCCTAGCACGGCCACATCCTGTGCCCTGGCTCAGCTGTGTATCCAGGCAGTGTCTGTCCCTAGCACGGCCAGGCCCTGCTCGCAGCTGCCCTGAAGATGGCAGCATCGGCTGGGCTGGGGACCGTGTGCCCCGGGGTGCTGGAGCCCCGTGCCCTGGGGGCATTCGGGGCTGCTGTGTATAGAGGACTCCCCTGGCACCCCTCATCCCGCTGCTGTGTCTTTATGCTTTCCTGGCCATCCTATCCTCCACTCACGGCTGCCTGTCCCCTTCAGGGAGATCATCAATGGGATCACTGTGACAGATGAGAACAACAACGAGCTCGGCCGCTCCAGGGTGAGTCTGGCGATGGGGGTACGGGTTGGGGCACGGCGCTGCCAGGGCTCACCTGCTGATTTTGCTTGCAGAGGGCAGCAGTGAAGGGCATCGCACAGGTTGTGGTCTCCAGGATCACCATGGCAGCACCGGGCATGAGTGAGTGCGGGGCAGGACGGCGTGCAGCTGAACTGGCGACTCTCCAGGACCCACCACCGTGCCCTCCCCTGCTTCACTTTCCCTCATGAAAAAGAGGGAGGGTGGCCCTGCATCCCAGATGGCATTTGCTCTCCTCATCCAGCCATTCCCATCAGACATCCCCAAGTCCCCAGCCCCCTCCATGCCAAACCACAGCCCAGGGAACAGGGAATGCTCCTATGGCAGTTTGGCCTCACAAGGATGCATCTCATGCTCTCTGGCCCTAGCCTCTCACCCTGCACCCTGGCACCCCCTCTGCTCCTGCGACCCTTGACATGCTGCAAGCCCAGAAGGAAGGACAGGAGCATGAGGAGCACAGACCATGCTGCCTGAGTTACGGATGTGTGGGGGTCTTGTGTCAGGTCCTTGCTGTCAGCAAACACCCAGTAGCCCCCAGCATAACTAGCTGCTTCCATGGCCTCCTGGTGGATGGTCCTGCTGGGACAGCCCTGCAGGCTGGCTAGCAGGATAGCTGTTCTGGGATCTGGGCTGACCTTTGCTTTCTGTGCCTAGTTATTCTGCCCATCATCATGGAGCGGCTGGAGAAATTCACCTTCATGCAGGTGAGTGCATGTTTCTCCTGCCAGTGGGCTCTGTAGTGCTCCAGCCCAGCTTCCCTGCTGCTGATATGCTGGGGATCAAATGGGG